TGTCAAGAACTTCATTCTTTTTTTACAGCAACACCAAATATACTGAAGCAAAAATGTGTTCTTCAAAAAAATTAAAGATAACATGAATTGTTTATTTTTACGTGTTTATTCCTGTTCTTTTCATTAATTAATAAAAAAACTGAAGAAATATGCATTTTCCTGAATTTACATATTATTGCCTAAAAATTAAAAAAATGCCCCGTTTTGAGGGGAAAAATAAATGGTCACTTTACTCTTACCATTACGCTACAGTAAACCTTTTATGTGTTGCATTCACATGTATAAAAGACCGTTTAGAACATTTTAATCTCCTTTGCTTTCTGCATTGCAAATAAAACAGGATACTGAAATGGCGTTTAGGAAAATGCTAGAAATTCTCGGTGCATTGTTTCTTAGTGCACAGGTAGGGGAAAAAGAGATAAGAAACGTGAAAAAAGTTAAGGATAACAGAGAGATATAAAAAATAAAGAAGGATGAAATAGTGAGCAAACAACAGGGAATTTCTCAAATTCTTGGTAGATAACAATCTTTGAAGCGAAACGTGCCGTTTTGTAAATATTATTCTTTTACAGTTTACAGAATCTCCCAGATATTAATATATCCTGCGTTGTTTTCGTACTGTTATGCTTGTTTAAAAATGTTTGGTTGACAAATGGTTCGTTTTTATTATAAATACTTTGAACCATGAAAGCTGTCTAGTCGATAGTTTGATGTTTATTTTAAAGTTTGAAATTCTTTTTTAAGATAAAATAACAACTAACAACTGAAGCAAATGTACATTTATATCAAAAAGTATTATAACTGCTTTGCAGGCTGGTGCAAGTGTAATTTTTCAAATCAAAACATTTCCACATTTTTCAATAAGCTTTGAGTGTTTTGATATGAAAGCTTGTTTCGAAATCACTCACCAAAAACCAGACAACTTCCTTATTTATTTTTCCAACATAAAGCAATAATATGGTACTTATTTACTTCGGAAGTTATAGAAATGAATCAAAGAATGTTGCTTACGGTGATGTATTTTTCCTGCATTGATTTATAATAATATTATCATTAACCATTAAACAGAGATGTACTTTTTATCGATAAAATCCAGGAAAGTTGTCACATTTTATAGAAATTTAGTCCAATTATTAAATGTTGTTCACTGATATACTTGTTTTGTGTATAAATAAATCAGAAGAGTCGTCTGATAAGAAGGATTTTATGAAATGAAGAAAAAAGTTGCAGTAATTCTTTTTTTAAAAGTAAAGCCCCGCTTGTAATCATTTAGAAATTTGCAACTTTCAATTTCTTTACGTGATGATATAGTAACAGGTTTATTATAACAGATATTATTTAATACAATAATTATTTCTCCAAGCAATTTTCAACTGGAATTGGAATATGAAAAATGTGGAAAATATGAACTGAATATAAGCATATTTTCTCAATAATTTTTCTTTTATTTTGCTTTGTGTGGAAAAAAACTCTTATAAAAATAAGTATTTGGGAATTTACTCACAATTTTGCCCTTCTCAAACTTTAACTTTTTTGTATTAATTAGATAGATTTTCCAAATTATATTTATTTATCAGTACATCCTAGCATGAGGCAAATACCCATTGCGAACAAAAATCCCCTTTGTACTCCTATTTTTAAATAATATACCGATTTTCATAGCTAATTTGATCTCCTTCGGGAATGAATTCTAGAAAATGTTGAAGTTCGATAATTCGTACAGATCTCGTTGCTACACTATTTGGATTAATAGATTCCATTTTTAACTAATTAACTTCAACTGATTAGATATTCGGTCAATATTCGGTATTCGGCCTTTTAGCCGATTACTATTCGGCCCAGTAAATTCAGGACAAGAATTTTTTTTAAAAAATTTGATTTTAAATATATTTATTTAACATAGAATATTGTAGAATTACATTTCGGCACATTTCTTTTCAAAAAAAGAATCTCCAAACATTTACCCAAATTTAAGTTACATAGTACATAAGTGTATTTAATGTTTATATAATTTATCATTATAAAGCCTATAATTATGACGCAAGAATAATAATTTTCTAACAATAACAATATTTTCAGGGAGAGGTCTGTTCCGGTTATTTCCATACATATATATTACCAGCTTCAGAAAATAAACTTTCTCTATATACTGAGTTTCCAGGAGCCGAGAGACTTTTTTCTTGCTAAATTTGCAATTCTTGGAAATTTTTCAGCTTTTTTTTACAACCAAATAAATGGACACTCCATCCTAGCTATTAGAAATCCTTTATCAAATTACGAATTTATTTCTAGTAATGTTAACTCATTCTATTATTCACTGAATTTTTTCTGTGTTTGTCAGCAACGCGAGAGCTATTTTAGGACGGACCTCGTAATTTTGCACCTTAGTCATGTGGCGAGGAATACACTTAAGATGACACCCTCTCTCCAAACTTCCACGCCACACCAACGAGAGGACGTTTGGCCACTACGTATGATTTAACGTGCATCAGGTTCTTATACACGGTGGATATTTAGTAGAATTGGTTTTCGAACTTGGACCCCCTTTTTCCTGAAGCCGAGATCTTACTATCCATCCACCATGGCCCTCATTTGAGTAACAGGTGTGATTGTGTTCAGGATGTATCAGGAATTTCAGATTTTTGATGTTCTCAAATCTGAAACTTCAGGATATTTTTGGATTCACTATCTGTCTCAAATTTTGATGTAGAACAAATATATCATTTAGATAGTGTAATAATTTTGGATTATATCAAAATCAATGGAGTAGTTCAAGTTTAAACTTTTTGTCGAAGTAAATTAGTGAAAAACCCAGTCGTTTTGTTAAAATATTCATGTGTTTACATCACATTAACACTCCAGCTGTCGAGCGTATGTACAAGTATACAATGCATCGTATTACATACTTATATCGTGTTGTTTAAAAAAATGAATGCAACTTTTATTTATGTAATTTGTATTTATTAGATTCGTAATAAACAAAGATTTTATAATTCAAAATTGCACTTAAATTTATAAAAGAAAGAGGAGAACTGGAGAGTTAATAAGCTACAATTATTCAAAATTATATCAGATTTTTACAGGTCGCTAGGAGGCCGCTTGGGGCCGGAGGGTTCCAGGTTCGAAACCCAGTGGAGGAGGGGGACCGTTTGGAGAGGGGGTGCCAGTTCAGGTGCCGTCCTCGTCATCTGACCGAGGTTCAAAATGACGAGGTCCGTCCGGAAATAGCCCTCGTGTTGCTTCAAAACAAGACATTAATATAACTAAATTACCCCGCGCTAGTTTTTAGGATTTTGGAAATGGAGTCGCAATCATTTCTGGAGTAACTACCTGTAGTTTGATATACAAAATCGAAATAATACAAATGCGTGAAACAAAAGATTACTTATAATTCAATATTTACCTTGGGGGAAAATGCAGCATTAGAGCTTTTCTGCAATATTTTGCAATAAAATCTATATCTGAAGAATGCGTATTTTATTGTTTTCTTAGTGCATAAGTGGTTCCAAATATAAGTGTTGAATCCACTCTGTGCCTATTTCTTGGGGTTAAATCCAGTGTGTATCCA